TTTTAAGCAGTATTTCACATTCCTCAGAAGCATATCCCTTCGTGCAATGATGGGACTTCACAAATTATTCTTACGTCACAGAACACAGTGCCTAGGAGACATGTTTTGTCTAAGAACGAGATAGTCTTTAAAAACAGCAATAAAAGGGAATCCGTCATGGTAACTCACTGATGCGCGACTGTGTAACAGAACAGACCTAGTAGGGCTCTTCTACAACATGACTGAAGGAGTAAGGCATTGATTAAAGAAGCAGATGGTAAACGGTATTAACGTTAAAGCAATAAGGCAGCTTTTCCTTTTTTTTTGCAGTCCTGTAGTTCATTAATTCCTATGTCGTACACATCCAGTTCCACAGACAGGCTTAATGTTGCAAGAACACCCAGGCCTGGTTTGCTTGTTAAATTTTCCTGACAGCTTGAAGATCAGTATGAAGGCATTTCCCCCCCAGCTCCCAATTGCCTGCCGGGTCTTTCCCTTGAGCTCCCTCCTGGTTACATTTTGATCCTGGCATACATTTCTTCTATCTGTTCCCTGAAATGGCTCCTCAGATCCATTCTCTTTGCTTTCAAGGTTGGGGTGAGCAAGCCATTCTGGACAGAAAACATCTCTGGGTGCAGGGCTATGTCTCTCACCTACTCAAAACAGAAACACAACATGCAACTTCATTAAAGACAGACACATGCTGGATATCAACAGAGTTCCAACAAAGCAATGGGGAGGTTTTCCAACCTCACTTGGTAAATTGATATCTACACCAAGGCCCAGGTAAATCCTATGCTTAGGCAGATTAAAAATAAGATCTGCTTCAGGTCCGTCTATCGGTTACACTGCATGGCTCCCGGTCTCTGGATGTCAGACGAGTGACATGCAGGAGACTCACACACTGCTGTCTCGTCTTTTAATAGATAAGACCAAGAGCTCAATGCTAAAGTTGCCCTGTTTTTGTGGTCCTTTTCCTTACAAGACAAAACACATTCAAAAGCAAAACAAAAAATAATGCATAAATAATTTTACAATCCCATCATATTAGCATGTGCTCCGTGCAAAAAAAAAAAAAGAAAAAAAAAAGACCATGTCATTTGTGCGAAGTGTGTTGAAAATCCAGCAACGAGATCCCTTGCTATCCTGCTGGGATACCAGAGAACACTCTTCCGCATCTGCCCACTGAAAAGAAGCTCCGGGATCCAGAAGATGGAACAGTGAGACCCACCCAAGTCTCCATTTTGTGCCAGCAGGACACTGCCGGTCACGTCATGAGAAGGACAGAAGTGGCAGAAAGGCCAGCCGCCAGAGGGCAGAGGGCACAGGAGGACTGGGGCTCTCCTCAGCATACTACACTGTCAGGCCGCTGGGCTCTGCTTGGTCCACACCAATGAACTGCTATGCTTTGCGGTTCCCATCAGTCGCCATGCAAGAAGGACCTTTGTTTGGGTGTGCTGTGACAAATCCCGCTGCTCTGATGCCAACGAGCAACACTCACCTGCTCAAAAGACTTCAGCCCCGCCTCTTTCCCACGCTTCACCATATCTTCCAGGATTGCACCCTTCACCTCCTGTCATGAGGAATGGCCAATGAGCAAACATTTAAGAGTGATTTCGGTTCTACTTTCTGTGTTATCCCTTTCTGTTTTCTTCCCTTAATCTGTTTGTATGCTTCCAGCAGGAAAGGCTGCTGAGAATGACCAGGGGCCAAACACAGGCTTACCTTGCTTTTGCAGAGATCCGCATACGACCCTTCGACCCCTCTCTTTCTGGCCCAGCTTGGCAATACGTCGGGATCAGGCACTACAATCGCCACCAGACACGCCTGCACAAGACAGATCCCTTACAAACATGGTACAAACTCTGTCTGCATCTCGGGCATTCAATAATCAATCACCCACAGATCACTGGTTCTGATGGACACTCCTAATCCTTATCCAATAATGCTGCAGACCAGGTGCAAACAGCACATGTCATTCCTCTCTTGGGGTGTATCTCACTGGAGTCACTGGAGACATTCAGTACTAATCTTACAAACCTCAATGTTGTGCAAGCAGCCTGGTTATTCTTGTGACACTCACTCTTTTTTTACACTTTATTGTACTTGTGTTGAAACACACAATAACATTATCCCCCCTTTCACATCTACTGAATACAGAAGCATAAAATACAGAAAAGGGGAAACCTTTGGAAATTCAAAATAACAGATGAAAAACGTTTTATACAATTTCTAATTGTCTGCTGCATGACAGAGAGAGAGAGAGATTACACACAATATATTTCCGGTTTGGACCACTCTCTGCTACTCTTGCACAGGTATTAAAACCAAAACACCACAGGGCTTACGAGCAATGTTCCCTCTAAACTGTGCGCAGTTATGAAAATCAGCACACATAGGAAATTGAACTGTGCCAAAAAAAAAAATCCCCCCCAAAAATGATGATAATAAAACAAACGTGGTTGTCAATTGAAAAATGCTAAATTGGCCACATGAGACAGGCCGCGAGAGGCCCAACTGGGCTGTGTGCATTATTACTGCTACTCCATCATCAATATCTATGGTCCTGTAGTCTCATACCTCCCTGCTCATGCTCGCTCGGCACTCAGTCTCTATGACTGGCCTTGTTGAGTTGCTGTCCTGGTCTTTTGGATCTCTATGCTTATATGAGGATGACTACAGTATATGAACAAAAAAAAATTCAGGTTTACAATTTTGTACCACTCAATTTAGTGCGCACAAGTTTTTGCCACGGGGGTAAAATATGCACAACTTGACATTTTTGTGCACACAGGCCATTAACAATTAGAGGGAACGTTGCTCAAAAGTCTGCAACAGAAAAGCCTGTTCTTTCTTCGCGGTCTCACCTGCAGGCTGTCTCCATGAACGAACACCTGAGCCACCGGCTCGCTGCGGTTGTAGATGTTCTCCACCTTTTCTGGCGCGATGTACTCGCCTTGAGCCAGCTTGAAGATGTGCTTCTTCCTGTCGATGATCTTCAGCGTGCCATTCTGCAAAGCGAAAACAAGCACATTCGCGCCGCGCCACAGTGCCAGTCCGACGAGGGGCAGACTCCTGTCCCCAGGGTTAC